GCCCCAGGAATTAGTTCTATGTGGAACTCAACTTGTCTTGGTGGGGGTATTCCAGGCAATTCATCTGGGAATACTTTCGGAAAGTCCCGAATTATAGGAATATCTTGAACGCATTTTTCTTCAGCTTTCTTATCCATAACATGAGCTAGAAAGGCAATGCAGTCATTTCTCAAATACTTTAGCATCTTTAAACATGTCACTATTTTAATACCCCTTCTGGGTTTCTCTCTGTGTACTTCGAGTATTCCCCCTTGGGGTAACGGAATTCGAACGATCTTCTCGAAACAACTAATTTCAGCTCGGTTCTTGGATAACCAATCCATGCCCACAATTATGTCAAAACTTCCTAGTTGGATCGGGATTAAATCTATACAAAAATCCCTACTAGTCAAGTTTAAAGTGCAATCCATTATTACGCCTTTGGCCTTACACTCTTGACCGTTGGCATATTCAATGATGTATACTTCTTTCAACTTTTGAGGTCTTGGATTTATTTTTGGTTTAAAATCTAATGACACAAAACTTCTATCCGCTCCAGAATCAAATAGTACAGATACGTAATGATTATTTAAGAGAAACGTACATGTGACTATATATGGATTCTGCCTTGCTTCCTCAGCTCCAATCTCAAACACTCGGCCTCTTGCCGGACCTCCTTGATTCCCTTGGTTGGCTGGTCGTGCTTGGTTGGTGTGCGGTCTTTGGTTCCATCGTGGACATGCATTCCGAAAGTGATCTGGGCTTCCACACTCGAAACATGCCCGCCTTCCTGTGCTCCTGCAATCTTTGGCATAGTGACCTCCTTTGTTGCATTTTTGACAAATAATACATCATCCGGCATGCTGCTTATTGCACTTCTCACACCTTTGATAAGTTATTTTCTCCATCTCTGCTGATTGAGTCTGAATCCCGTAGTTTCCTGATATTTTCAGAGCCTTTCCCATTCTTCCCCCAGACTGCCTTCGTGTAGGTTTCTCCATCTTTCTCTTCCCTGAAGCCTTATCTTTTACAAACATTCCCAAACGAGTAGCATTGTTGGTGAGTTTGGTTGCCGAACTTACTGCCTCTTGTAGGGTTTTTGGGTTTGCCGAAGTAATATCCCCGCGTATCACCGGAGATAATCCCCAAATATATCTATCAAGTCGATTTTCTTTAGGCGTCACTAGATGCGGTACCATTTTTGCCAATTCATGAAAACGTGCAGTATAAAAGTCTATATCATTTCCTCTCATTTCATGATTCCATAATTCTGCTTCCAGTTTCTTGATCTCGCTCCTTGGACAATAATCTTCTTTCATCATTCTCTTAAAATCTTCCCACGTAAGACCGTTGGCGGCTTCTCGGCCCCGAGTTTGTACTTGGGTATTCCACCAAGTTAATGCTCGTCCTTGTAATAGACATGCAGCAAACTCTACTTTCTTCCCTTCGGTACATTCGCTAATATGGAGCATAGACTCCATGCTCTCTAACCAAGTCAGTAATCCCACGGCTCCCTCAGTACCGTGAAATTCCTTCGAATTACAACTCCTAAAGGATTTGTACGTACATTCTCTATTTCCTGATCCTTGATTGTTGTTTTGATTATTATTCAGGCCGGCTGCCACTTGGCTAATAATGTTTGGAAGTGCAGCCATGAGTTGTTCAGATACAAGTCATGCAACTTCGGAATCATCCCTTCTCGGAGGCATTGTTCTAAAACACAATTTTTAAATTGGGTTTTGGTCAACTTAAGTTACTATGGCCATAATAAATCTACTTACTAAATTATACGTATCTTATAACATACATCTAACATTATTCATGAAAACATATATTCCAAAACAACATGCGATAAATAGATAACATGCATAAATTTCATAAATAGCCAAAGCAAACCAAACATAAGTTTTAAAATATAACCCAAAAGACATTAAATTGTTTAAATTTAAACATATAGGCTACAAGCCCCAAAAGAAGGTATTATCCATCCAAAAGTTTCAAAATAACGGGAGTTCCCTAACGCATTAACACCCTAATCAATATCCCTATCATCATCACCAAAGCTCCTACCGCCCCAAACAAGTACGCGTACAATCTCCGAATTGCCCTCCTAGTCTCGAAAACGACCTCCATAATCCCCGTAGTAATATCATCCTGTGTGAGCAAGACTGTAAAAATGCCGTCTAAGGACTCCTGGACGTGATCAAGTGTATGATGGTGGGACTGTAACTGACTGCTCAAGCCTGAGACCCAAAAGTTCTCCACTGCAGTCATGCCTCGAGGCTGTGGCACAGGAACTCCAATTGCTGGGGGAGGAGGGGTCATGCTCCGCGATCGGGACTGCGATTTGGCTGGCTCGCTCAGAGGCTCGAAGGGAACTGCGATAGTCACCCTCCTGGGAGGGAGAACACGCTTTCGGGCGGTTCTCATGATCCTAGGTCCTCGCGACGGACCATCCACATCGACCGGACGTGGTGTAGGTACGGATGATTCAACAGAAGTCTCTCGGGTGGTCGCGTCACTTTCCTCGGACGGGTCACTCTCCTCATGGACGGGTTGGTTTCTCCTAGGGAGGCTGGTAAAGTAACCGGATTTGTCAGGGGAGTGCTCAGGGAGTGAGGATGAGTGAGACATTCTTAAACTGTGACAGTAACAAATTTAATTACTGTTAGCTCCATTATTCCTATCTTGTAAAAGTATAGAAAAAGTATATTGCAAGTCTTGACAAAAGGTTAACTCCACAGAAGACAATAGAGGATTAGCAACAGAAGCCGTATGAGCGAACAAGTGAAGAGTAGCAGAACCTTTGATGCGTCTCACAGAGGTTCTGGAAAATAGTCCTCTGATCAAAAGAACATACAAGTCATTTACAGCAGAGCCTCTGAGATGGCTTACAAAGGGTCTGCGATTTTCGTCTTCTGTGAAGTTTCTGTTCTAACAGTTTTTCAAAGGTGGTTAGCCGCATGTGCTTCTCACGTGAATAGGACTTAATCGACTTTCTTTGGACGACCCAGATGAAGACACTTGTCAAAGATCTAGTATCTAAGGTCGTTAGGAACTAGTATAAATAGCGGATAGGGCCTTTGTAAACTGTGTGCTTCTAGTATTGTAATTGTCAAAATTTTCAATTGAATCAATTGAAAAACCTTTGGAGCAATCTTCTTGCATTCATCTTCTCTGTTGAGACTGTGTGTTCTTGGTGTGTTTAGAATTTCTAATCACTTACTCACTCTGTTTTGCTCTTATTAATACTTCCGCTGCACTTCAATTGTTTTAAAGCTTATTTAGAGTGTTAGATCAATACCAAAGTTGAATTCAGATCCTACAATTGGTATCAAAGCAGGTTTTGAATTCTAAGTCAATTAATTCTACTTTTGGTATTAATATGAGATTCCTTGAACACCATTTTCTTCAGTTTACCCTGTTTCACTCACTGTTGAATCAGTTTCATCTTGTTCTTATTTTTTCTTCAAATTTCAATGGCGAACATGGGTAATACCTTGTTCATGAGTACTGGATCTCAATCCAAGCCTCCCACRCTTATCCGAGAGGAATACCCACAATGGAAAGTGCGCATGATCAACTTCCWTGAAGGAATTCACCCTAGAATTTGTGAATTTCTCTACAATCCACCATACGTGCCACTGAATTTGATTCCACGAGTTCCAGCAACTGGTACAACCCCCGAAGTTCCTGAGCACTATGAGCCAAAACCAATTGCAAACTGGAGCGATGAAGAAAAGGTATTGGTTGAATTGGGAAGCAAATGTAAAAGGCTGTTAATCATGGCTATTCCTCATGATATTTTCAAATGTATTGATCACTGTCATCTGTCTATGGACATTTGGGTAGAATTGGAGAAATAGATCGAAGGAGGGAAAAAGACTCTCAAGAACAACCGAGCCATTTGTATTGATGAATATCATAGCTTCAAGGCTAAGGAGGGTGAATCCCTGT